TGGTTCAGGGCATGAAAGAAGGCATTAAGAGAAAAGCAAGGCAAATCGGATGATTTTTCACAGTTTCGGCACCATTCAGTAATTTGGGCCTAACTATCGTATCCGAGCTCCGATTGGGCTGATTCAAGACTCACTAGAAATAGAAGAGAGAAAGCTACAACTTTCGTGCTTTGGGATTTCATAGATTCAGCATGCATTGAGGTCAAATCTGGGCCTGTAGTCAGGGCAAATTTGTAGGATGGCCCAATTCGCAGCAGAAGCCCAACTTGTAGAGAAGCCTTGCAGCAGCCCAATTCGTAGAGGAAGCCTAATACGAATGCAAGAACAATAAACTGAGAAGAGTCCTATCAGATTTAAATTTGTGATGTAATCCTACAAAGATAAAGAGATTGAGATTACTAGATAAGAGATAAGAGTAGGATTAGATTAGGACTTTCTATTTTTGAAAGATAAACTTCAAGAAGGAGTTGGAGACCACCCCCTCCCCTCTAAGCTATATAAAGGGATGGGGGGCGGACTAGAGAGGTATCAAGAAGAAGGCAGAGGTCAATCAATCAACAATTGAATTAATCAATTACTGAAGTCTCTCTGAAGTGAATCAAGAAGATTATCATGAAACTTTAAGAAGAAAATCAGCAAATCAAGAAAGCTTTTAGAAGGAGGTGGCGACAAGAAGAAGTGGAGATCTCAGCACCATGGGCGAATTCATGAGTTCTTTCTTTCCTCTTGTTTGCTTTATTTCCTTTATCATGAACTTATTTGTTTTTAGATAGGACTGTGGAAAGCCTAACCATGATAATGAATATATTTTTATCATTATGATTTATCCAAGATCGTGATTTCCATATAGTCTATGAATTATTTGCTTAATGCGATTAGGAGTGGCCATCTCTTAATTGATTCGGTTTATATGAATGAATTGGGAGAGGAATTTATATATTCGACCACATAATTCATGGTGTGAATTGAATGGTATATAGGGATATATACACATGATTCATTTGAATATATGAGTTTTTCTTGCACTTAATGCATTCCTATCATTGAGAACTCTAGTCGAGGGATCGAGGGGTTAGTTGATAGAAATAGGTTTAATATATCTTGGGAAAGAATATTAAATAAAATTGGGAAAAACTTCAGCTTATGGGAATGACAAATGATCTTGGTTAATCGCATCCATTAATATTCATTAGAATGGTTAGGTGGACCAATGGTCCTAGCGATTTCACTCATTGCATATTCGGTTATTGATTGCCTTTGCTTTTATTTTGTTTTTCTATTTTTATTTTCAGTAGTTCTTACTCTTAAATCTGAATTTCGATTGTCCAAATAATTAGGGAAGACTGTAGTTATAATACTTATTTTGTTAAATCCCCGTGGGAACGATATTTTTATACTACTTGATAACTAGTGCACTTGCTAGGGTTATAATCATAGCTATCACCTACCTGAAAGTCACGCCTCAATAAATTCTTGTCATGCCATTGTTTGGTTCGTTCCTTATATATCTTGGCATTCTCATAAGCTACAAGTTTGGCTTCATCCATCTCATTGAGTTGCATCCGTCTCTGTGCACCTACGGCCTGCAAATCAAAATTCAATAACTTCATGAACCAATATGCTTTATGCTCAAGTTCAACGGGTAGATGACATGGTTTGCCAAAATCCAACCTATATGGAGACATGCCAATAGGTGTTTTGTATGCAGTTCTATATGCCAACAATGCATCATCTAACTTGACAGACTAGTCTTTTCTTGAAGAGTCTACCGTCTTCTCCAATTTTTTTTTTAATTCCCTATCAGCTAATTTGACTTGGCCACTGGTTTGAGGGTGATATGGGGTTGCTAATTTATGCGTGACACCATATTTTTGCATCAACCTTTCAAATTGGTTGTTGCAAAAATGAGTTCCCCTATCACTAATTATGGCGCGTGGTGTGCCGAATCGAGTGAATAGCATTTTACGGAATTTGACTACTCTCCTAGAGTCATTTGTGGGTAAAGCCATGGCTTCCACCCATTTGGACACATAGTCGACAACAACTAGGATGTATTTATTTCCAAAAGAATTTAGGAAAGGTCCCATGAAGTCATTACCCCATAAATCAAAGATTTCACATATTAATATGTTAGTAAGAGGCATTTCATTGTGTCAAGAGATGTTACCTTTCCTTTGGCATTGGTCACATGCGGACATATACCTATGAGCATCATTGAATAAGGTAGGCCAATAGAAACCTGATTGTAGCACTTTGACTGCTATGTGGTTGGCTCCAAAATGGCCTCTTGCTTCTCGATCATGGCAATATCAAAGCATTGACTCGATCTCTTCGTCGGGGACACATCTCCGAATGATCTGATCTGCACAAAGCTTATACAGAAAGGGGTCCTCCCACAAATAATGTTTCACATCAGAGAAGAATTTCTTCCTTTGCTGATATGAAAGATTAGGAGGGAGGACGTTTCCTACGAGAAAGTTGGCAAAATCAGCATACCAAGGGGATGTATCTACCTGAATTGAGTAGAGCTGCTCATCGGGAAATTCATCTCGGAGGATGCTCGTGGTCTTCCCTCCCAAATCTGAATCCTCTAACCGGGAGAGATGGTCTACGGCAAGGTTTTCGGTGCCCTTTTTATCACGAATTTCAACATCGAACTCTTGGAGCAACAAGATCCACCTAATCAGCCTTGGCTTTGCATTCTTCTTTGCAAGTAGATGTCTGAGTTCTAAGTGATCTGTATACACAATAACTTTGGACAAGATTAGATAAGAGCAAAATTTATCAAAAGCAAAAATTACTGCTAGTTGCTCCTTTTTCGTCGTGGTGTAATTCTGTTGAGCTCCATTCAAGGTCTTGCTAGCATAGTATTTTGGCTGGAAATTTCTATTCACTCTTTGTCCTAGAACAACTCTAACTACTGAATCACTTGCATCGCACATCAACTCAAAAGGGAGTGTCCAATCCGGTGCTACTATGATCGGTGCATTAGTTAGCTTATCTTTCAAGATATTGTATGCTTCTAGGCATTCCTTTGTAAAATTGAAAGGCACATTTTTTTGTAATAGATTGGTCAAAGGCTTAGCTATCTTGGAGAAATCCTTGATGAACCTTCTATAGAATCCTGCGTGCCCCAAGAAGCTTCTCACGGAATGGATAGATGTTGGTGGTGGTAATTTCTCAATTGTCTCCACCTTAGCTCTATCAACCTCGATCCCTTTTTGTGAGACCTTGTGTCTAAGTACAATACTTTCTTGCACCATGAAGTGACATTTTTCCCAATTTTGCACTAGATGAGTTTCCTTGCAATGCTTGAGTACTTTTTCCAAGTTATGTAGACATGCACCAAAGGAAGAACCAAAGACTAAAAATTCATCCATGAAAATCTCCATAAACTTCTCCACCATATCAGAAAATATAGCCATCATGCACCTCTGAAATGTTGCTGGAGCATTGCATAATCCGAATGACATCCTCCTATAAGCAAATGTGCCATAAGGACAAGTGAAGGTGGTCTTCTCTTGATCTTCGGGTGAAATCGGAATTTGATTGTAGCCTGAGTATCCATCAAGAAAATAGTAGAACTCATGACCAGCTAGTCTCTCTAACATCTGATCGATAAAGGGTAGAGGAAAACGATCATTGTGTGTGGCGTCATTTAGTTTTCTGTAATCGATGCACACTCGCCATCCGGTAACCATCCTAGTCGGTATGAGTTCATTCTTCTCATTCGGCACCACAGTCATGCCTCCTTTCTTCAGTACTACTTGGACAGGGCTTACCCATGAGTTGTCTGAGATCGGGTAGATAATACATGCATCTAATAGCTTGATGACCTTTGCCTTCACCACATCTTTCATGTTCGGATTCAGGCGTCTTTGGGGCTGAACCGTGGGCTTGCATCCATCCTCCATCAGGATTTTATGAGTGCATATGGATGGATTGATACCCTTGATGTCTGCTATCTTCCAAGCTAGAGTTGTCTTGTGTTCCCGCAGCACCTGTAACAATTTTTCCTTCTGCAAGGGAGTCAAGGCTGATGAGATAATCACTGGTAGAGATGATGGTGCTTCTAAGAAGGCATACTCCAGATGTGGTGGGAGTTGTTTCAGCTCAGGGGTGGGCGGCTCTTCAATTGAAGTCTTGCTTTTCGGCATTGAGGGTCTGTCCAAGCTCTCCAACTTGATGAACCTCTTTCCTTGAAACTGAAGATTAACATTCAGGTATGCTAACATGCTCTGAATTTCTTCATCGTCTCCAATTATGGCTTCTCCTTCTTGTATGCATGACTCAAGGGGATCGACTGACCTATTGACTAGAAAACACCCACCAACCACATAGTCAATAACATCTATCATATAACATGAATCATCACTAGATGGTGCATGTTTCATAGCATCAGACATCTTAAAAATTACTTCATCATCTTGAATCCTAAGGCTTAGTTATCCTTGTTGGACATCAATCATTGCCTTTCCTGTAGCTAGGAAGGGTCGCCCTAGGATAAGTGGGACGTCAGCATCCTCTTCCATGTCTAATAATATGAAATTCATGGGAAAAATAAATTTATCAACCTTAACAAGCACATCTTCTATAATTCCCCTAGGATGCTTGATAGACCTGTAAGCTAATTGCAATGCAACTCTAGTAGGTTGGGGTTCACCCAACCCTAATTTCTTAAAAATCAAATAGGGCATCAAATTTATACTAGCTCCTAAATCACACAATACCTTATTTATCTTTAAATTGCCTATAGTGCAAGGAATAGTAAAACCCCCTCGATCTTTTAGTTTTTGAGGCAGCTTATTGAGAAGGATTGCTGAGCATTCTTTATTCAATGCGACTGTAGCCATGTCTCCCAATTTCCTTTTGTTCACTAAGATTTCCTTAAGGAACTTTGCGTAATGTGGAATTTGGGCTAAGGCATCTGCAAAAGGAATGCTAATATGTAAACTTTTGAAAATTTCAAGAAACTTACCGAATTCCTTTTCCATTTTGTGTCACTTAAGCCTATTGGGAAATGGTACTTGTGGATTTTGGCTTGTCTCCTTCCTTGAATCCGACTGCTCTTCCTCCTTCTTTTTGGTCTCTAGAGTTGCATCCATCTTACCTTCTTCTTTTGTTTTCTTTTCCACCTCTTGCAGCTCCTTACCAATCCTCAAGGTAATAGCTTTCACTTGCTCTCTTGGATTCACCTCCGTATTGCTAGGCAAGGCACCTTGGACTCTAGCGGATATCATTTGTACTAATTGCCCCACTTGAGTCTTTAAATTCTTAATCGATGCCTCTTGATTTTGAAATCTTGTTTCTCCACTTGATATGAATTTAGTCATCAGCTCCTCTAAATTAGATTTCTTCTCCGGTTGAACAAAATTTTGAGGAGGAGGTTTCACCACATTTTGATTTGACCATGAAAGATTGGGGTGATTCCTCAATCCGGGGTTAAAGGCACGAGGATAGTGGTTACCTTGCTGCCTTTGAAGATTCCCTACGAAATCCACTTGCTTAGGGGTCTGCATGAATTGATTTCCAACTTGGCATTTGATACTGATGTGACCTCTCCCACACCATTCACAAGCTACTGCTTGAACTTGCATGGCTGTCAGCTGCATGTCATTGAGTTTCTTGATGAGGGCTACGATTTGTGCAGACAATGTTGTATAAGTGTCTACATTGTGATACCGGGTTGCTTCCTAACTTGGGATCTCTCGGAATGCCACTGATAGTTATTTGAAGCCATCTCTTCAATAAGTGCATGAGCAACCTCAAGTGTCTTGTTGTTAATGGACCCTCCAGCTGCAGCGTCTGTTATGGTCACACCATCCGGCGATGCACCGCGGCGCAGTCATAGGCAGCAGCACGCACAGCAGCAGGCACTGCCTGGCAGCGCCGCACGGCAGCACGCACCATGCACACGCCCAGCACCGCACGACAGCGGCACCATGGCGCGCAGCATGCACCGCCAGGCAACAGCAGGCACTGCACGCACTGCACGGCAGAACGCACCGCACACACGCCCGGTACCGCACGGCAGCGGCACCATGAGGCGCGCGCACGCACGGCAGCGGCACC